TTGGCACCTTGACTATAAACAGAGATGTGTAACAAGGTCATCAGCACATTTTCATGATGTCTTGGATTGTCTTTTGCTCCCTCTCATTTGAGAAGCCCTAAGAGAACCTGACAAAGAAAACACGTTTGAGATTACAGAGCCATTGCTGTCAGGCTGAGAGCCTAAAAACCCACCGTAAGAATTCACGGAGATACTCCTTGTGTTGTCACTGATATCAATTCCTATACTTAAGATTCCTTGCTGCAGAATCTTAGCTTTCTGCAAACATGTTTGATGTGGGTTTCTAAATGATAGGATCAAAGAATTTTTTGTTAGAAGGAATTTTTTCAAAAGGGTTTAACATTCTGAAATAAAGTAAATGCTCATTAATTGAGAAGAAAGGTATTATATGCTATTTAGTCCCATTTTCCAATACATTAGGAATGACCACTCTATCATTTGAATACCTCTAGTAATGGAGAACTCACCACCCTACATTATTGGATACTCTAAGTATCATATTAAAATTGCAAAGGCATAACCTGTGATGATCAATTCTCTGTCTCTTGCTATAAAAGCTACCTGGTTTTATAAATATGAATTAACTTTTAATTTCAAGTCATTCAGAAAGAATATAACAATATTTATTGAGGAAAATCTTGGAAGTTAGTGTAACTACTGGTGTTGATACCACATCATATATGATGTAAGTCTAGTCTACAGCATTGTAGTTTTTTCATTTGTTTACTTCATTTTCTATATCGAAGTTCAATTTCAACTTTACTCAATGTGTATTTATTACTCTTGGCACAATATTTTATAATTTTATAACTCTTGTTATAGGGTGACATTATATCCCGATTGCCTGAAATCCTTCAGGTTTGTACCTCATTATCTAACATAATTTTTAACAGCACCCTTTCACTTTCAAAAGTATACTACTTTGGATGACAATTTTATGCTAAAGTACTGGATTTCAAAGTTTTTAAGAGCTGTATTTTTTAAGCTATACTAAAAACCTTCACAAATTCACAAATCTTCCCAACTCCCAACTTCTCTGCATGTTCCTCAATTGTTAAGTTTTTATTTTATTTGAAAATGATAAATCTTCTTGACTACAGAGTAATTTTAATAAAATGAATAACTGTTCTGTGCTTTTAAAAACAAACACCACAGAATGGCTGGAGCCTCTGTGCTCTCTGCATGGATGGAGTGGCTCACTGCCAATGAGATGTCACTTTCATTAAGTTATTGAGAGCCGGAGAGAACCTTTCTAAGTCAGGCACAGCATGCTGGCAAATGCAATGTGGATGTCCTCATGCCTGAGAAAGCATTCCCTCCACTTGACCAGATTTCTTTCATCTTTGGGTGCCTCAGTTTCTCTGTCTCTAACAGAGCACAATAATGCCCACTTCACAGGGCTCTTGTAGGATTAAAGGGATGATAGCCATAGGGCACTGTCAGCCACTGGGAACAAAGACATGAAGTAATTGCAAAATGTTCGGTTCTGCTTCTCCAGCTTGTGGAAAAAGGGCTCCCACTGACTTGAAAGACAGCATCATACACAGATGAGGAGAAGCCCACTGGGAGAGCAGAGCCTATTACCTTCATTATCATTGTCCTAAAGTGCAGAGAAGAGAAAGAGCAACAAAGAAGCTCAAGAACTGTGGCCACACAAAAACAAGATGAGGACTAACAAATGGGCCACGAAAGAAAATCCAAAAAAATAAACACCTCAGTTTAAAAACAATCCGTGAAGATTATACGCCAGAAGCTAAGAAACCACCTATATATACTTGGGTCACTTAATACAGTGATGCACTTGTATATTTTTCACAATAGAGTGTACCCTGTCCTTCACTCTACCTTTCCTTACATTATCCACTCTAAATGTCTAATGGCAGTTTCCACTTTTAGAGTGGATTAAATTTCAAAATTCCTATGTAGATAACATTCTGTAAAGCACCTTCAAATGATTAACCAATAGACAATAAGATTGAAATTGGTGATACTATTTTATCATAAAATATTAAGACTTCCAAGGCTGGGGGCGCCTGGGTGGCTTAGTCGATTAAGTGTCCGACTTTTGCTTAGGTCATGAGCTCGCGGTTCGTGGGTTCGAGCCCCGCGTCGGGCTCTGTGCTGACTGCCAGCTCAGAGCCTGGAGCCTGTTTCAGTCTGTGACTCCCTCTCTCTCTGACCCTCCCCTGCTCACGCTGTCTCTCTCTCTCTCTCCTAGAAATAAATAAAAACATTTAAAACAACAAAAAATAAATAAAAAAATAAAAAAGACTTCCAGGCTGAAGAATGAGTTGGGGCAAGTAGAAAGTGCCACTGGTGTTTTGGTGAACTCATATTCAAGTAGATGTAGGACATTCTCCTGTATATTAATACATGCTACTAAAATTGAATGGGTAAAAATGATAAGTAGTAGATGTCATTCTAAGCAGTTATTTTCCCAGCAAAAGCTATATATGAAGAGTCCTTCAGCACACTCGGGGAATGCATAGAAATTCACAAATCAATTTGCTAAATTGGCTTGGCTGGAAATCATTCTTTTGTGCATGGATCCAGCTGAAAGGCATTTCTGAATCTACCAGATTTGCCCATGGCTTCTTCAACCAGTGCTAAGAGTCAGGGAACATCACAAAAAGAGTGTGGGCTTCAAGGTCAGTTAGATTTGGACTCAAATTCTCCCTCCACTATATCACTGGCTGAGTGACTCTGGGTAAGTCACATGAGCTCTCTGAGAAGAGGATTATATACTCATGCCAGCCTTGCAAGGTGCCATGTCCAACACATGTCAAAGAGCCAAGCACTATATACTTGGTTTAACCTTTTCAGTAGAGCTATAAACAACCCAGAATGAGAGAAGTTCACACCAAAAACCATCTGCTCCCTCTCTCTGCTGCAGGCCAGCTGGACAAGTGATATAAAATAGAATAGTTTTTAAAACATTAATATAAAATGCTTGCACATACTGAACCCAAATAGGGGCCTTCATTTAAGCATCCAGACCAGTCAAACTGAAGTTCTAATAATGTAAAAATTCTTAGATGTCAAATGATGTTCTAGTTTACAATCTGTATATTTCTGCACTTGCAGAAATGATCCACAATTCATCTTTTAAAACCACACACCTTGGCCATTCCCAGCGGGTTTCCTGAGGACTACCTGCTGTCAGGTGAGCCTTGGGTCTTGAATATGTAAGATGGAGAAGCAAAGGGAAGTATCTTGGAGCAGTCAGTGCTCATTCTATAAGTGAAAATGCTAAACTTGGAAAGGGGAAGGTGCTTGCTCAATGCCAAGCAATGAAGGCCATGGGTTAGGATTTTTAGGAAAGTCACTATAAACCAAAACTGTGACACATTATAATAATAATCTCATCACAGAGCTTCATTCACTGATAGTTCCAATTCTGTGTCCAAACAACATCCCTGCCTGCCAGGTGCTGGCTCTGTCCTTTGGGAAGGAAGCTCTCCTCCAATAGCACAACAGAGTAAAACCTACTAAGATATGTATTTTATATTTCCCAATATGACATAGAACTGAGTTTCTAATATGTCTGGGGGGTGAAAAATCTGAAATACAAAAAAAAATCATCAAAATATCCCTTTGCACACTGATGTGACATTTGCTGTCCCCTGGTAACTGTCCCCTAATAGTCCTAAGCCTACAACTGCAGAAAAATGGCATCATGCGAGCATAAGTCCACAGAGGAAAGTTAATAAAGCAAATGCTTAGCACACATGTTTTAGAGAGTCTATTATGCTTTTTTCTATGAAAATCAAATTCTCTGTTTAATTTCTGAGCATAATAATTTCTAACCACTGATCAGTATATTCTAAAAGGTGCTAGCCCATATGCAGCAAGATTTATAAACACCCAGGCAGAATGAGTTCCCTTTTTCATAACTCTCCAACCATTAATCATCATTGATTACTAATTCTGGTTCTATCTCTGTGAATAAGTTAATACTTTACCCTGAATAGGCTAATTTAGAGATGGATCATCCTGCAGCTAATTCCAGATCAAGGACACCTCCATGCTTTAAAACAGCTTTATATCAAAAGCCCTGTAGGAGACAATCATCAAGACCAAGCAGAATGGGAGCTGTAAGAGGGCATAAAGTCAGGGGACTTCAGGTTTTTAGGATGGGACAGGTCATAGAACCCGTCTAAAGGCTGAGGGGAAGGATCCAGAAGCTACAGGAAAATGCAAATCCAGGGGACGGTGGTAGTGAACCCAATGAGGGTGATAAGGGATGGGCCCCAGGGCATTGCTGGAGGGAAGGGTGGGAGGGGAGGCAAAAGCCAGAGGAAAGAGGACCTCAGAAAGAAAAGGGAAGGAGGGAGAAAGGGAGGAAGGTAGGCAAAGAAAGTGTCAAGTGTAGGAACATTTTAAAGTAAGTTTAGGTGACATTAAATATGGAGGTAAGGAACCATGAATTCTTTAGGACCTCGTCTCCAAAAGGTTTGGAATCTAACATAATTATACATGGAAAATATACTCAGAGATTATATTTGATTCTGTTTAAAACATTTTAATTGACTTTTTTTCTAAGGAATATGCTGAATTCATAATGGAGGAGAAAGAGATTATTCAGTCAGATTGACTTTTTTGTGGAATTTCAACTCAAAACTACTTGAATCCCAGCCTTTGACAAAGTTACATATCAATGGAGTGGTGCGGGGGAAACTTCAAGGAAAGAAAAACTCAAACTGTAAATTATCAGGTTAATTCACAGTGTGGACATAAGAAATAGCAAAGACACAGTTTGATATTTGGTTTGCAAAGTGAGAAAAGAAAGCATATTAAATTCTATAGAATAATCTTTTCTGATCACAGAAATACTAAGAACTCGATAGTTTTTTGGGGTTTTTTTTTTTTTTGGCTCCAATGACTTGTAAATATCTAGAAGAGCCCAGATTTTGAAGCCCTGAGGACACTTGCTAAAACTCAGAAATTTGGCACTAGTCATTGCACACAATTTGGGTTTTCTTTCAGAGTTGATATCTTACCAAATACAGCCATCTGTGTTCCCTCTGGGAAAGGTTCAACTGTTCTATTGCCATTGACATGATGTTTGGCTAGGAAAAAAAAAAAAGGGGAGAGAAGGAAAGAAAGAAATACAAGTTAAGTGTAAAGTTCCACACACATACTAACACATGTCATTAAATGTGTCAAAGAGTCTATTTCTCATTTTTAGTTAGAAGCGGCACCAAAGCTTACCCTTTTTAAGAAAGCTCCAATTATTTTTTTTTAGTCTCAGTGACTGAAGATCCTAGAAATGATCTGGTTCAAGCTTGTGGCTTTACAAAGAAGGGTGCCAGGGTCGGAGCTCATACAGAGCTAGCCAGAGCCAGCCCAGCCCAAAAGCTCCCAACTCCTAGCCCAGGGCCCCACTGCACCAGGCCAGGTCCTAAAGAACAAGGAAGCTCTGGGTTCCAGGGTGAATTGGGGAGGCTTTCTCTGAAGACTCCTGATGATCACAACATTGACTCAATCAAGGAAGTGAGCCGTGAAGACAGCAGGATAACATCAGGGCCAATTTTCAAAAAACACAGAATAGCAGAACACACCATTGCAGTGTTGCAATTCAAGCACTATTTCCAGGAGCCACAGACACTTGGCTGCTTAAAGATGGATGGATATCCCAGTGCTTCTTACTACCCTTCATCCACCCCAGTTCCCTCCACCAATCGTCCTTCCCACCCTGTGCATATCAAGGACTTAGAAATAAAAAGTGACCAGGTTTGGTTTTCCAGCATTAACTTGTTCTCAAAGCCTCCCAAAATGCAGTCAGATAGAGAAAATCTGAGTATGTCCAGCTATGAGTATTTTTTAAATATCCTCAGCAATTTTTGCATGTGGGCATTTATGTTGAAAATACATAGGAATGGCTAAGAAGCTTTGACACTGCATCACATAGCACATATATTTTTATTTCATGGGTCACATTAGATTTATGGAGCACTGGCAAAGGGCTCAGCATCACAGCTAGGCTCTGAGGGGCCTGAGGAGAGTAGGACATGGTCCCGGCCTTCTTGGAGAGTACAATTATCAAGAGGTAAAAATGTCAAACTTGACCAGAAAGCTTACAATTATGTGCTAAGTCCTAGAATGGAGACTAAAGGTATTGTAAAAATTCACAGCAAAGAAACAGTAAGCTGGGAGGTGGGAGCCAGCAACCTGGAGGAACTATAACTAGTGCAGTCTTAAAGGAGAGGCAGGGTTTGGAAAGGCAGAGGTGAGGAAGCTCCTTGAATGAAAGCCAAGAGTGAGGATGTAACCAAGGCATCGTCCAGGGCCAGAATAAAATCTAGTCTGGGCTTCACAGAGGTGATATGTTAAGAGGCAGTGGCAATGAAGGACAGATTGGTAAGCAGGGACCAGGTCATGGAAGGTCTTTAGAACCCCAGCTAAACCCGCAGGAACCCAAGGCAGGCCCTGCAGCACACCACAAGTCTTTTAGAACCTAAAGGTTTATGAGGCTCAGGCAAGTTTAGACAATCCCTTCAGAATACCATCATTCAGGGGCTTTCACTGGTTCCTAAGTAATGGTGGCACTATCCTGGGAACAGAAAACCTGGAGGAAGGGAAGAGGCTAGCCCAAGTCCCAGGTGGCCATGGGACCTTGTCAAGCACTCATTAATATGGTTAGGACCATTAGTTGCTAAATCCAAAGAAATATGATGAGGCTTGATGTTGAGGTCATAGTTCTGTTCTATAGTCAGAACCCCACACCCCCTGCCAGCGGTTCCTAAAAGTGTTTGCCTTTACACATATCAAGAGTTGTAAACCCATTCAAACTCTTAAATCCACTAATCTCACTCATAAGAAGTTAACCTAAAGAAACACGCAAGAGGGAAAAAAAGGTGACACACATAGCAATATTTATTACTTACAATAATGATATCTTAAAATCAACTTAATATCTAAAAGTACTAAAATTGCTTAGAAAATTATAATTCATGATTTGTCAAAAGCATGGAATATCATGCAATATATTTTATTTTTTTAATGTTTATTTATTTTTGAGAGAGAGATACAGAGTGTGAGTGGGGAAGGGGCACAGAGAGAGGGAGACACAGAATCCAAAGGCAGGCTCCAGGCTCTGAGCTATCTATCAGCACAGAGCCTGACATGGGGCTTGAACTCACGAATGTGAGATCATGACCAGAGTCAAAGTCAAACACTTTGACCAAGCCACCAGCACGCCCCAATGCAACATATTTTAAATATGGCATTTGAGAGATATTTGAAATGTATATAGAAATGTGAAAAAATATTTGGGACAATGGTATCGAAAACAATCCTATTGTAACACTGGATGTAGATTATAATGAAAACTAATTAAAATATGAATGCTTATAGGAAGAGAAATGTTCCTCTGGCAGAGAAACATACAAAAATGAAAACGACTAGGGAGATTATAAACAATATTTGCCTTTATTAATTTCCATTGTCATTGTAGATTCTAATTTTCTAAATGAAAATAGGTTTGGATTTTTAAAAATCAACAAAATTCTAGATTAAAAAATTTTTTCCTACAGTAAGTTCTTGGTTTCCCAGAACAAAGCTTATTTATAGCCCAGCTGAAATGCTATACACTTACAGTGAAAAGTGTAGCCTATTTGACATCTCCTCGCGGACAGCTCAAAAGCACCTCCAACAAAAGATGACCTTCCACTCTAAAGATGGTGCTCTTCCAGCATCCTCACCTCTGGGAATAAGACTGCCATTCTATTTTCTAGGTATCCTTGCCCGTTCTCTAGCCCTCACTACTCACATCTAATCTATCACCAAATCTAGTTACTTTCACCTTCCAGACATCCAGAATCCTTCTACTTCTTCCCTTCACCACCCAAACAAACCATTCCTCTTTGCCCAAGACTCCTATGAATGCCTCTAACTCATCTATGTCCCTGCTCCAATTCACTATTCCCAATGCAGTCACAATTACCTTTCAAAAAAGAAAGAAAAATTATGATTGCATGGCACAAACTCCCCAACACCTTCTCCCACCTTCTATGGCTTCCCACTGCTCTTATGTTAACATCAAAACTCTAACATGGCCTTCAAGGACCCTCTATCACAGTCATGTTGCTTTCCTAGGACCAAATACCTTCTTCTACAACACTCACCAGAGTTCCACCCTATACTTAGTCATTACCTGAACAAGAAGACTATAAGCACAGGAAGGACAGGGCTCATAGCTCCTTTGGTTCATCATTTCCATAATCCTAGCCTAATGGGGACACAGCATTAAACAGCTGTTCAATAAATAGCTGTTACATTAATAAAGGAAGATAGAAACAGTATAAAAAGAGAGACTAAAAAGTCTCTCTTCAGTCATTATGAAAGCTTTATTATTTGATATACTAAAGACATAGCTCTCTTTATATGTACATATGTCCCTTACACAAAAATGATCATTTAACATGGCCATCCAAAAATAGTCTCTCCAGCCAGGTGGCCAGGAGACCAAGGAACTCCTCTCTGTTCTACTCTATAAATGTGTGCCCCTCTTCCCTTCCCATTCATCTACTCTCATCTGAGAAGGCAGCACTGCCAGTGGAGCCAAGAAGACTAGAAATCCTACCTGAACCAGAGAAGAAGGAGGAAGTTCATATGCAATTCTCACCTCAATGTTAAGGTTCCCCTAGACCCCGTCTTTTATTCTAGAGCCTGAGGCCCAAAGATAACACGGTCCATAAACCTAATTTTGAATTTTTTTAATTTTTATTTCTTTTTGAGAGAGAGAGAGCACAAGTGAGGGAGTGGCAGAGAGAGAGAGAGATACACAGAATCTGAAGCAGGCTCCAGGCTCTGAGTTATCAGCATGGAACCCAACATGAGGCTAAAACTCACAAACTGTGAGATCATGACCTGAGCCAAAGTTGGATGCTTAATGAACCGAGCCACCCAGGTGCCCCTGATTTTGCACTTTCTTCTGAACTGCAGCTGAATCAGTTACTGGACAGCAAAGACACAGCATTAGCCAAGAAGAGATAGCACAGTATCAGCAGCTAAGGCCATGGGCTCTGGAACAAGACTGCCTTGATTTTGAACCTCAGCTCTCCCACTTACTAGCTATTGGAATGTGGCTTAGTCACTTAACCTATTTGTGCCTCAGTTTCCTCATTTGTAAGAGTTTCTTCATTGTAAGATTCCTCATTTGTACCTACCTTGAGGGCTGCTGAGAATTAAATTAGTTAATATATTTACAGCACTTAGAACAGTGCCTGGCACTTGGGAAACAACTCTTAACTGTTAGACTAGCATTATCATATGCGTGAGCTTTATTTTTCACAACAAAATCTGAGTCAGGAATGACAAGTACATGACACATGATGTACCTATTCTCCATGTCCATGCTCATGGCAGACATTACTAATCAACCACAGCATGCTTTCTCAGTCCCCAAATGTGACCAAAAAAATCTTTTCTCAACCTAGCATCCCATAGAGTCTCTTCTTATTTAGATGTATGTGCATATATGATGAAATTCTTTTGTCATTCCTGGTCTAAGTGAATAAAACAGAAAGATGGACCCCAACAAAAAGCCATTTTCCTTCTCATTTCTACATGAAAAAATGCAATTAAAAAAAAAGATCCTTTGAAAATCTCCAAAACTCTACATATAGCTTTAGGAATAAAAGAACCGGGGAAATCTGAGTGCTACTTTCCATTCTCTGATGCAAGAATGGTGAGTTCTTAAAAACCAAACAATGGCAGTTCTACTCCTAGAAATCGAGGCTTAGCTCCCAAGGGCACTTTCCTACCGAAGCTCTGCTGAGGCAAGTATTCAGGGGACAAAGAACCAGAGATCCTTTAATAACATTAGATAAGTCAAATAAGATTGGGGGAGGAGGCTAACTTAGGGACTTAATAAGCATTTTTTTTTTTTTCAAAATTGGTGGCACATGTCACCACGGAAACAATCAAACTAACTAAACGGAAAAGTCATTCATTGATTGGGTTCTGACTATTGATTACCAGCAGACCATGAAATGAAGACAGGAGTGGGTCACTAACAGGGACATCTGTTGCGCAGCCACAGCAGGGCGGATGCTTCCAATCTGGC